AACTGACCGAGCTCCTTCGCCACAGAAGAAGCACGGACACTGTTGTGCTGGCGGGGATATGAACGCACAAGTTGGAAAGTTGTCCACTGATGAACTGCATCTGGGCGGCCAACATGGTGTAGGCTCCCGTAATGATAACGGTGAGCGGTTACTTCATTTGTGTGAAGATGCTCGCTTATTTCTTGCGAGCACTAATTTCCGACACAGCACCCGCCGGAGGGTGACTTGGCGCCCACCAGCCTCGAACCAGCCTTGGACGCAGATCGATCACATTGCTATTAGTTACCGCTGGAGAGGCTGCATCCAGAATTGTCGCTCGATTTGGAGCACATGTGTGGACACCGAGCATGCACTTGTATGTGCTGACATGCGGATGCGTTTTGGCAGACGCCCACGACGACGCTGTGAGTGCATTGACACCAGCCAATTGACAAAGCCAGCTGTTCTGAATGCGTATCGAAGTACGCTGTCAAGCGAGTTGAGTAAGCGCTCACTGGAGGTAAGTGATGGTCACTGGTCACATGTTCGCCAGACCTTAGTAGCAGCAGGCAAATCCTCATGTGATATGTCTAATAGCCAACATGGACTTTGCGTCTCTTCTCGGTCTCTGGAACTAATCGACGCTCGCCGGCGTATCCCCACTGGAAGTGAACACAATGCAACTCGCAAAGAGCTCCGGGCAAAATTCCGTGCTAGCCTGAAGACAGACCGCGAATCTTGGTGGTCTCATCGTGCGTCAGAGATGGAAGTGGTCGCTGCCCTTAGCAACCATCGTAAATTATTCAGGCTGATACGGGAATTGGGCAGCAGAAGACCTGGTGTTAGTGAAACAATTTGTGATGAGAGTGGACAGCCTGTCCACAATTTGTCAAAACGTTTGGAGCGTTGGGCTGAGCATTTTGAAAAGCAATTTAAGCGGCTAGAAATGTTCGAGTCGCCGGTCACTGATCGCCCTGCTCCGTGGGCTGTCCCTTTGGATCCACCCTCTCGCTCAGAAGTCGAACGTGAGATCGGACTGTTGAAGTTGAACAAAGCCGCGGGACCTGATGATCTTCCTCCAGCTCTCTTCAAATTCGGAGGCTCTGCTCTTGTTGATGCTTTACATGAATTACTAGTGAAACTGTGGGAACAGGAGATTGTCCCAACCGATTGGAGCCGCTCCGTTATTGTTCCCATCTTCAAAGGCGGCTGGCGCTCCGAATGCGGCAATAATAGAGAAATCAGTCTGATTTCCATCGCCTCCAAATTACTCGCCTCCATAATTCTTCACAAACTGACTGGCACGTGTGAAATCCAGATTCGTGAGGAGCAAGCCGGGTTTCGTGGTGGTCGTGGCTGCATTGACCACACTTTCACCTCGCGTCAGTTGTTGGAGCACCGTCACACATATTGGCGGCCCATTGTAGTCGTGTTCCTCGACATCAAAGGTGCCTTCCATTCGGTTGATCGATGTGCACTTTGGAATTGTCTACTCAGGAAAGGTGTGCCCGAGAAATATGTGAATATTATCCGAGCATTATATGCGCGTAGCACGGGCAGAGTGAGGGCTTACGGCAAGCTGTCGCCACCCTTCAATATCTCCAGCGGTTTGAGAGAAGGATGCCCACTGTCACCTTTCCTCTTCAACTTCGCTATTGCCTAAGTCATGGAGATTGCATTTACAGGACATGGCTTGGAAGGTGTGGAGCTACTCCCAGGAGAACGACTTCTCGACTTGGAGTATGCAGACGACATTGCCTTCATCTGTGACATCTCGCAGACGTGCCAAGCTGCACTGAACAGATTAGCACTGGCTGTCAGTCGCTCCGGGCTTTGCTTTGCCCCTTCGAAGTGCAAAGCATTTCTCCAAGATTGGCACGGATCGCCCTCTGTGTAGACCCTTGGTGGGGATCAGCTAGAAGTCGTTCAAAAATTCCACTACCTGGGAAGTTGTATCAACGCCCTTGGGATCGAAGACGAGATCACGAACCGTATAGCGAAAGCTCGAAGTGCTTTTGCTAACCTTCACCACCTATGGCGGCTGCGTGACATTAGACTCGCCCTGAAGGGTAGAGTGTACAATGCAGCGGTACGTTCGACCCTACTGTACGGTTGCGAAACCTGGCTCCTAAGATCGGCGGACATGAAGAGGCTAGTTACGTTCGACCATCGGTGCCTTCGCAGTTTGGCTCACATCTGGTGGGAACACCGCGTGAGTAACGAGCGTGTTCGACGCCTTGTTTACGGCCCAGGAAAAGGGAATGAACCGCTCAGCACCGTTATTTCCCGCACCCAGCTCAGTTGGCTGGGCCACGTGTTGCGCATGCCAGCCCACCGACTCCCTCGACGTGCGTTGTTTGCTCACCGGGGATGTGGGTGGAAGAAGAGGAGGGGTGGCCAAGCGATGACTTGGTCCAGAGGAATGAAGTCCCTCACTTCGGAGCTAGCCTCTGTTGGAGCTTCACGGCTACCTGTTTGGGGTCCAAAAGACGGTGAACACGTTTGTCTGGATACACTTGCTGACTTGGCAAGGAGCCGACCTCAGTGGCGTCCGTGCTGTGAGTTTCTTTTCCCTCCTCCTCCATCTACGATCTCATTTCGTAGGGTAAAAAAACAAAAAATTTTTTGCCTAGTAGCTGGCTGGAAGCTTACCGGAACGATGCCTATCCGTTGCTGGTAGCTCAGCTTGCATGCAACTGTCGTATTTATTTTTTCTTTATGTATTGTATGTATGTATATGTATGTATGTATTTCCTTTATGTATTGCGGAGGTGTTTCACCACCTCTAGCTGACATGTATAATGATGATGATGATGCCTCCTATTCTAAGTGGATCAAAGCCCACATTCTGGTTTCTGTAACTGCACCTACCATCATAACAAACTGCGCACTACGTTCGCAACGTTTGGTCTCCCCGAAACACTAACATATGGCAATAAGCCAGTGTTTTCCTGTGCCATGTTATTTATCTATCTTTGGTTGTTCCGGGAGGATGCAATAACGGCGGTTTTGTCTGATTTATTACCTCTTTGACAAGTACTCTCCCCGTTTTGCCTGACTCATGCTCACTACCGCGAGCTGCTCATGTCCCGTTTCCGTCTCGTTCCGTCAGGTCAGTGTGGCTCCGTATGCTCCCCCACGTTGCGTCCGTTTCCCATCCAGTCCGCTCCCGTTTTTTTTCGGTTCTTCGGGCAACCACCGTCTTCCGTCTCCCTACAACTGCCCCTCCTCGAAGTTTCTGTTTTGTCGCTTGCCAAGGCCGCAGTGTGGCGGCATACATCCAGCGTTTCGGCCCCCGTTTTTAACTTTGAAACTCTCACTCTTTTGATGCAGTACAGCGTAGAGACCTTTGCAGTGTTTCCTGAATTTCCCTGCTCTTGGCCCTCCAACTTCCGGATGATCGTGCTTTCATATTTTAGCTTTCACGCTGTATAGCTTCCACTTGTGGGTTGAGTATCTGGCATCGTAGTTGCGTTTATTCCTTGCCTGTCGAGACCTGGTTTCTATTCTGATGGTTGCTTCCACACATTCACATGTGTTGCTGGGATATCCCATTTTGGCATAAGAGTTCCGAGTATTTCAAAGGGAATTCTTGGTTTTCTGCCAAACTGTAACTGGATTGGTGCAACTTTGCTGATCGACTGCTTGCTGGCTCTATATGCAAGAAATACCCCAATCAATGCTTCCGCCCAAGGCAACTTTGCACATTTTATCCACGTCTTCCTTGTTCGATTAACATGTTCAGTCAGCCCGTTAGTCTGCGCATGGTACGGTGATGTGCATCTTCGCTGGATGTTCCACTATTCCAATACTTTCTGAAATGCCATCGAATCAAAACAGAGTCTTTGGTCGGTAACAACCCACTGTGGGATTCCATACCTTGCGAGTACATTGAATTCGAATGCCTGTGCCACTATATCCCTTGTTTGATTCTTGATCGGCTTGGCTTCTACCCATCATGTAAAATGAGCAATCATTACTAGGGTGTACCTCTTTGCTGACCGATTGACCGGCAAGGGCCCAAAAATCTCCAATCCCCAAAACCGGAAGGGTTGGTTGACATCGATAGGTCGCATCTGAGGTCTTGGTGCATGGATATCGCCATTCGTTTGACAAGACGACCATCCACGAATGTGTGCCGCGACGTCCTTTCTTATGGTTGGTCCAAACACCGTCTTCTGCAGCAGGTCGAAGACTCTCTCGAAACCCATATGGGCGTTATCATGGGTCACTAGCAGCGTTCTCACCCGTAAATTCTGGGGGATAAAAGGCACATTCATTCCGTTTGTTATCACCAACAGGGTGCCATTTGTGACAACAAGCTTGTCCCAGATACTCAGGAGTTCCCTAATCTCTCCTGATATTGCCTCTGGCTTGCTTGCGACATAAATGAGCGCACAGTAACTTTACCTATTCATCTGGACGTTGGCTTCCCAGTAGGTCTTTATCCTCAGCGGTGACGCCACACACCGGTTTCGCAGTATGTGACAGGAGCTCGTCCAGAGATGGGCGCGATAACCTGTCGGGTATTACGTTTTTCGTTCCCTCTATATTCTCGGTTGTAAAGTTGAATTCTTGGAGCCGGCAAGGCCAACTTGCAAGTCGTCCCCTGTCATCACCATTAACCATGCTAACCGCTTGTGGTCGATAACGATATGAAATTCAATCGTTAGGAGGAATGTTCTCCATTTCTTTAAGACTCAAACAATGACAAGACATTCTTTCTCCGTAGTGGAGTACTTTTGCTCTGCACTGGTCAGCCCTCTGCTGGCATATTCGATCACATCAGCTGGTTGGGACAGTATAGCTCCAATTGCAAAGGTGCTTGCATCGACCGCCGCCGTGAATTTTTCCGCAGGCTTGGGTGGCCGTAAACATGCCCGCACCTCTGCAACGCTTTCCTTTAGGTCGTTAAATACCCGATCTGCTTCAGATGTCCAAGTGAACAGTTCGATTTATGTAGCGGCTTTAACAATAGACTAATCTTCTCCGCAGAATGAGGCATGAATTTCGAATCATACGCTACCACTCCAAGGAATAACTGGATCTGACGTTTCGATTTCGGGGCTGTGGAATTCTTGATTTGCTTTGCTTTTCTCTGGAAGCGGCTGAAGTTGATCATTCCCCACAATGTGATCCAAACACATAATAACTTTTTGAAAAATCTGTGACATTTCGTGACTAAGCTTCAGACCGACTTCCTCCAGGCGTTGTAGGACGGCTACGAGTGGGCTAAAATGTTCATGGTCCGTCTCCGAGAAAATAATTATGTCATCCCCATAGACAACCACCGCTTGGAGTCTCTTTAGGACCATTAGCAGTAGGCTTCTGAATGTCGCAGGGGCGTCGCACAATCTAAACTGCCTTCCCAACAATTCGTACCGTTGGCCGTTCACACTGAAAGCTGTTTTATGCCGGTCTTGTTCTGCGATGGGGAGTTGCCTGTAACTCAAACGGAGATTTATCAATGAAATCGGTCTGATGATGTGTAGACTGGAAGATGTTTCTTCCATTTGGGGCATTGGAAATGCCTTTCACCCTCACACTATTAAGCCCCTTGTACTCGATGCATAATCCGTAAGTTTCTTCAGCATTTTTCATCAGCATGAATACGGACTGTTTGTTCGTCTGAGGATCCCTTTGGCCTCCAACGCAGCCACCTGCTTCTGTATCTCCGACAGAGTGTTCTGTGCTATCCACCTGAAAATCGGCTTGCATTGCCCGCCTGGAATTTGGGGTAACTGGTGTTCTACCCAGCTCCAAAATCCGTACTCGTCATTTGTATCCGTGAACAAATGCGCATAATTCTGAAGCACATGCCGTATTGTACGGTTCGGACACTTGGAATGAAACGTCACGGCACCTATCTGGTCGCATTTCCCTGTGTTTATCTCGATAGTTTCTCTGCCCACTACCACAACATTCTTTTGTAAATCAATCATCGCACCGAACCACTTGAGAATGTCATTACTGATGGTTGTTTACGTTACCTCCTCGATAACAAACGTGGAATGGATAATACCCGTTTTGCCAATTCTCACAAGTAATGTCTGAGCCCCTGTCACCTTCAAACAGTGTCCGCCGACCATTAGAATTGCGATTGATGACTGTGCTAAAGGGACACCAACGAAACTTTTGTAATGGAAACACCCACGCCCGTGTCTACTCTCACTGACCAGGATACACACAATTGTTATCTTGAAGGAGGGTACACGCCACCGAGCCGATATAGATAAGGTGAAACAATGGCAAACTTTTCTGTTTGTACAATATGCAGAATAATGACCAAGTCTGTTGCATCGGAAGCGACGGCGCTCATCAAATTTTCCGGACCCATTGCATTGTGTCTCTGTTCTCGGTGTTTCGCTTAACAGTCGTTCCACCATCCGCGAGAGTTGGTCCACTTTGCGTTCCAACTCTGACGGCTCGATTTTTCCCATCGTCGCAAGCTCCGAAAAACGCTGGGCCACAGCCACACGTTCTTCGGCCTTGCTCACTTCAACCATGGATGCCAATTTCACTTCGTCCTGTATGTGTTTGGGCAAATGCCGGACGAATTGTCCTCTCAATAACCGTTCTCTCGCGCCGCCATCCAACTCCGGAAGCGCAGTTTCCAAGTGTCTGTTCAGCCTCTGAAATAACTCCACCAGATATGCTTGCTATTCCCATTTGGCTAAGTGAAACTGTTCCAGCCCTTGTTACGGTCAACCACCTTCTCGAACTCCGCACACAGAGCCGTCTTTATCACACCAAGTAAACAGCCAGCCTTGACCTTCTACGTTAGCAGGTAGGTCGCCTTCGCTCTTCAACTCAGCAACGTGCCCAAGGCGGTCAGCATGTTGGCATCCCATCTGACTTCGTTACACGTCGCTATCGTCTCAAACTCCCGCAGCAACTTTCCACCTCTCCCTCTGAAAACAGCGCTGGCCAGGTCAACTTCATTCTGATTGGTCAAGTGACCAGTGTAGCGAGAACGACACGGCAGTGCGGCACAAGCGTTATTGGCACGATCAACAGCTGTCACCACTCACACAGGAGTACATTAATGAATCATGTTTTCTTCCCCATTGTACCATCTCTCCTGGCTTCCACTCGAGACACGTCCATGCAGTCTTTGCGGTACGGGAAGTATTATACTATGTCCATTTCGCCCCAGTAGCTCCACTCCCACGCGTCCCATTCTGACCGATCCGGAGTCGTCCGATATCTCGTGCTTTGCTTGAACATGAATGTATTGCGCTGCTTGTGGATGTTCCGGGAGGATGCAATAACGGCGGTTTTGTCCGATTTATTACTCTTTGACAAGTACTCTTCCCGTTTTGCCTGACTCAGGCTCACTACCGTGCGCCGCTCATGCCCCGTTTCCGTCTCGTTCCGTCAGGTCAGTGTGGCTCCGTGTGCTCCCCCTCATCGCGTCCGTTTCCCATTCCGTCCGCTCCCGTTTTAGTGGTCTTTCGGTTCTCCGGGCAACCACTCTCTTCCGCCCTACTATATGATGCCTAAATTTCTTCAGTTTGCTTCCGGTTTTGTTCAGTTGTGTATATTTGTCGCATTGTCTTTACGACAAAGGCCAGTACATCAGTATACGAAGCAAGCTTGTTGACAAACACACCGGCAGCCATAGTCTGCTTGTTGGTTAAGAATCATGACTCCCAATTCATAATGCGGATTAGTTCCGTAAATGTACTTTAGTCAATTTGTTGCATGTTATGATTGGGCTGCTACTTTGTAATGGAGTGGGTTAGTTCGTCCAGTGTTCATGATACAAGACGCCATGTTGTGGTCGCAGCCCGGTAGTGGACTTTCAATAGGTACACAAGTGGAATGGATCCTCATGGTGAACCCTAAACCTTAAGTAATGGCATTTCCGGTGGGACTTCTGCCACATGTGATGCAGCCATTGAGGTGGATAGAGTACACCATTTCCTCTTGTCCCGTTTAGACCGTAGGTCCAGACAATATGCAGTTAACTTCTGGGTATTAAAATTTTCGCACATAAGTTTGGAATTGTAGGTATTGACAGAAACCGTGTAGCTAGTATTCATTAATTGCTAGTTTTCGTTGTGGGTTGCTCAGGATGGTCGGTAGATACAATCATGTATATGATGCCAACAGATTGTAACACGTTTCGTAAAGTAACGTGTGGAATTTGGTGAAATGTTTTACGCATATCCAGATATACGTTTACAACGGACTATTCAGCATCAGCAGAAATGGATATGTGCTTGAGAATGTTCAATTGGAAAGTCGAAATTAACTATACCTGCAGCGAACTATGCCATGCCTAATTGATTATATATTCCGATAAAAAGTAAACTACCGTCCCGTTTTACAATTTCAGTGTTATAACAGACAGTCTGAGTTAACAAGAAGCCACAAGGTTGTTGCGCTTTCGCAAAGGGTGCTCAACAGTTTAGATTACTCCATAATTATATTACTTAAAGTAGCAGGATATTAGTTGTAATTTTGTTACCTGGGAAGTTGTATCAACGCCCTTGGGACCGAAGACGAGATCACGAACGGTATAGCGAAAGCTCGAAGTGCTTTTGCTAACCTTCGCCACCTATGGCGGCGGTGCGACATTAGACTCGCCCTGAAGGGTAGAGTGTACAATGCAGCGGTACGTTCGACCCTACTGTACGGCTGCGAAACCTGGACCCTAAGATCGGCGGACATGAAGAGGCTAGTTACGTACGACCATCGGTGCCTTCGCAGTTTGGCTCACATCTGGTGGGAACACCGCGTGAGTAACGAGCGTGTTCGATGCCTTGTTTACGGCCCAGGAAAAGGGAATGAACCGCTCAACACCGTTATTTCCTGTACCAAGCTCAGTTGGCTGTGCCACGCGTTGCGCATGCCAGCCCATCGACTCCCTCGACGTGCGTTGTTTGCTCACCGGCGATGTGGGTGGAAGAAGAGGAGGGGTGGTCAAGCGATGACTTGGTACAGAGGAATGAAGTCCCGATAAAAAGTAAACTACCATCCCGTTTTACAATTTCGGTTTTGTAACAGACAGTCTGGGTTAACAAGAAGCCACAAAGTAGTTGCGCTTTCGCAGGGTGCGCAACAGTATAGATTACTCCATAATTATGTTACCTAAAGTAGCAGGGTATTAGTTGTAATTTTGTTAAGATATTCCTCCAAATAGTTTGCAAGAACACAGCATGGTATGGAAAAGCACCAGATGTGTTTCGCCGTATTAAGGCTCGTCAGTGGTGCGCATTCCCTCGATAACCTTATAAGGTTTGAACTTATGACCTCTAGAGGCAGGTACCGAATAGCCCGCAGCTTACGCCACTGAGCCATGAAGATGTGGGATGGGATACATAATTTGCAAACTAACTGGGATATAGCGCCACATAACTTCCACTGCCATCGACAGTGGTTAGTCTGCGAGGTGATGAAGTCTTCTTACCGTATTGCACTCCCATAGCATTTTGAAACTAGGTGAGGATATTTATTATACATTACACTTAAGTATACGAAATATAGTTAAATTTTTGTCAAGGTATTCATGCTGATAGTTCAAAAGCTACACAGCACAGCCTAGAAAGCCAAAGCAGCAGACGCCTTTCGCACTATGATGGCAAAAGGTTGTAATCAACACGCGGGATAACCACTGTCAGTGACCGTGGAAAATAGGTGGTACTATATCCCAGTTAGTCTGCAAATTATGTATCCAAGCCAACGTCTCCCATGGCCCAGTGGCTTAATCGGCTGGCAAGTTATCATCTGCTTCTAGCGGTCATGGGTTCGATCCCCATTAAAGGACCGGGGGATTGCGCAACGCTGACTAATACATCGGGTCTGCTCCTTTTCCGGACTCGACTGTGATGTGTAGCTTATGAACAAACGAGATGAATACCTTAACAAAAATTGCAAGTAAAGTACACCTACTTACGAGTAATATAACATAAATAGCCACTCTTAGTTTCAAAATCCTATGGATATAGCGTCTAGTGAGAGGATGTCATCATCTCGCAGGCTAAGCACTGTCAGCGACAGTGGAAGGGACTTGTCGCTATGTCCGAGTTAGTTTGCAAATTGTGTAGCCCAGGCATTGATCCCCATGGCTCAGTGGCTTAAGCTGCTGACTATTTGACATCTGCCTCCAGCGGTCATCAATTCGATCCCCATTGCAAGAGCTAGGGAACGCGTACAACAGAGGAGCCCCAATAGAGCACACCTTTGGTGCTTTTCCTGACTAGGCTGTGCCATCTAACAGGTGAACTATCGGGATAAATGCCCTACAAAAAATTACGACTAAACTACTGCCGCTTAGGAGTAATAAAGGATAAATGTACTCCCCTAGTTTCATAATGTTATATTTATATTGTCTAGTGAGAGGATGATATCATCTCGAAGGCTAAACACTATCAGTGTCAGTTGAAGATAGCTGGTGCTATATCCCAGTTAGATTGCTCTTTATTAACCCAAACAGCTTCTAACATTTATCACTGTCTTAAGTTGTTGGTTGGTTGCCATTCGCTTCTGGCGGTCACGGGTTCGATTCTCATTAGGG